TTCATCATATGTTGAAATAATGTAACGTTGTTTCATCATGTGACAAGAAACAAAAAAATTACGTTTGATTTAACCTCAAAATTATACATATTTATAAGTGAAAGTAAAGTTTAGTTTTGATTCTCAACATTTGTTATCACCTTAGTCCATCACGCTTATTAATCCATATATCTAAATGCTTTTGGTCGTCCCTGTTAAATGAGAAGTATTTTAGTCATGTTCACTATTTTTACAATTATATATTAAAATTAAAAACATATTATATTTTAAGTTTTCATATGTAAAACAAAAAAAAGAAAAGAAAAAAATAAACAACCCTTCCCCACCTCTGTATATCCATTGTCACCTGAAAACCATCGTAACCAAATATTTAAGGGCAAAATACATAAAATAGCAATCTACTTTTATAAATTTCTTTATTATAGTATTGTACTTTCAGTTTTTCTTATTATAGCAATGTGCTTTCAAATTATTTTTTATTAGGACATTGTACTTTGAAAAATTTACCCATTATAGCATTGTGTAATCTTTTGATTTAAATTTACCCATTATACTAGGTTTTCATACCACCTCATTGTCCACGTAGGTTGTCCACATGTACTATAGTGATGTGCCTTTCTTATTAAACATTGTCTTTTTTTAATTTTAATATTTAGATATTTTACATGTTATTTAATAAATATATTAAATGAATTAAAAAAATCTAAAATATTCATTAATATACCAATATCAATAAAACTAGTAAAACACATATTATCTCGCTGATATTTTTTTAAAAATATGTGCTTTTTGAAAAAAAGAAAAAAAGAATTGTTTTTTTATCAAAAAATAGTATCTTTTAAATAATATATTATATTTGTTCAAAAACTTTTATTTGACACATAAATATATTAGATTAATTAGATTTTTTGAACTTATTTATTAATATAACAATATTAAAAAATTGTAGATAACAATTTATTTCGTTAACATTTGAAAGATAACTTTAAAATATATGTATTTATTTGAACAACATAAAATAAGAAGAGTTACATTTTTTACAAACAAAATATATCTCGAAAATAATGTTTCATATTTATTTAATAAAATTTTACTCTAAGAATATTAAATTTGCATGCAACTTAATAAAAAAAGTATAAAAAAATTAAATATTTTTTTAGATCATAGCAATGAAAAATGAAAATCACTAATAATAATTTAAAATATGTTTTTTATTTTTATTTTAGTTAAGTCATCAAAATGATGTGTCATCCACATCACCTCATTAAAGTCACACAAGCAAAAAAAGTCAAGGGTTAACCGGTTTAAAAAGTAACATGTTACCCATTGATATTATGGGTAGATTTTTTAAAGTACGATGCCTTAATAAAAAATAATTTGAATGTACATTATTGTAATAAAKAAAAACAAAAGTAGAATGATATAATAAGAAAATTTATAAAAGTATGTTGCTATTTCATGCATTTAATCCAATATTTAATATGTTTTATAGAATTAAGAAAATGAAAATAACTAAAATACTTTTCGTTTAACTGAAATTAACAGAAAAGTTAACAATCGTTAGACAAATGAATCAAAATCATTGAGACTTGACAAACGTAAAGGATGAAATTCAAATTTTTGATGTTTATGAACGATATCAGTTAAAAATTACAACTAAAAAACCATTGCCACCATATATAATATGTTTTTTAAATTGCTTTATAAAATTAAGAAAATAGTGAAAACGATTAAAACACCCCTCATTTATTACGGGACTACAATCAACAATTTATGGGTCAACTTGACCTTATTCCAAAGATCTATAAAAAGTAAAGTTAAAATACATTATCGTAATGTGCAGTGAAAAGTGAAGTTAAGACAAGAAACATAATAAATGATCCGAACTCTTGATCACCTTTAATCTTAAACCCATTTATGAATCACGTTTGATAAGGATATAGATCTAATGCATCTCACCCTAATGCGCATCCAATGATGAATATCATTTATTATGTTTCTCATCTTAACTCTCATTCTCACCGGAATCCAACATATTTTAAAATTATGTTATATTTAAATAAAATATAATTTATAATATACGTATATTAGCAATTGGCTAATAATTTTTCTAATTAATTTTGACTTCAATTATTTGATGATTGACTTCTAGATATAGCATTAACATATGTATGATAATTACTTAATGATTGACTTACTTATTATAGCATTAACATATGTATGATAGAATGCCACCTTTTGGTGGTGTTTATGGGTCATCATATGGTTATTTTATTCAACGTTAATAAAAAAAACATATTTAATATAATCATAAAAAAAACATATTTAATATAATCATAAATAATATTTGTATTTGTATATAAAAATATAATGACAAATATTTGTAGTTAATTTAATTTTAAAATAATAAAACGTCAATGGTGTGTAATACCACATGTCTAAGAGTTCCATTTAAGGACTCAACAATCAAACGTCAAACCTTATAATGTTCGATTAGAGGTATTAAGTAATAATCAATGTAAATGAAAATAAAAGAAACTATTTGATATCATATAATATAATGGGCCCATGTTTCTAAAAGCCTAAATTTTCATTCCAGATTAAATTGAAGGAATGAAAATTCATTTTCATTTTTATTCTCTGTCATTTTCATTTTTTATAATGAACCAAAGAGTCCCTAAATGTTACTTTCAAAGGCCACAGAGAACTCTCCTAACCCAATTGTCACACACCATTTGTTGTCTTTATGATATACGTGTGATTTTCTTTAATTTATTCTACTTTTCATATCAAAGCATTGACATTTGATATTCCCTTCATTTTCTCAATTATCGGTAACATAAAATGTTTCGTATTTATAATATTTTTTTTTTGTTTCATATAATTATTGATTTTTTCTAAAAGAGTTTTACGTCGAAATTTACAAAGTTTGACTTTTAAATAAATAAAAACAATAACTCACAATTGATTATATATGTGTGTGTGAGAAAGAGAGATTGGGTTCATCTGAGACCAAGTTGTTATTGAGACCATTTTTTTACATTTGAAACTTCACAGCAAAATGTTATGAAGTTAAAACGATCTGAACATTCACAACAAAAACACTGTGAATGTTTTACTGTTAAGTTTCAAGTGTAAAAAATTGATCTTATAGGTCTCACGAAAACAAGTTGGTCCTATGTGAATCCAACCATGTGTGTGTGCGCTCGCACGAGCACTGGCGGATCCAGTGCATGGTGGTAGGGGTCCTAGGCCCCCAACAAACCCACCAATTTTTTTAAAAAAATGCTATTAAAAAATTTGTCTAGTTAATTTTTCTATTGTGCGCTCAACAAGAAAAAGACAAGACCCCCCAACTTGATATCTTGATTGTTAATTGGTCATTTGCAGCACATAGTGATATTTCTGTTCGAAATTAAACTATGAAAAATTATACACCTCGATGATAGTAAAAAGTCAACCGAAAATTAACTGAATAAGTTATTCTTATTCGGTTAATTAAACCGTTTAAGCCGAAAAGGAAAACCCAAAACTGTTTTCATCCGGATGAACTATTTGGTTTTGAATTTTTTCTACACGACTACACCCCTAAGTGTACCCCCAACTATAACAGTTTATGGATCCGTCACTGTGTGTGTATAATTATCAAGCATATTTGAACGTTTTTGAAACTAATACGCTATTAAATTTGTTTACAATTATAATTATGATTAAGTTACGAGTTGTTACAAAACCATAGTAATTGTTGTTACTAGGTTTAGGTTTATACTTAATTCAACTCCTAATCAACAATTAAACCTCAAAAGTTACTTTCAAACAAGTTAGCAAGCTTCAACATTTATTTTGTAGTCGAACGTCTTTATCAATTAAGTTGAATATCAGTTAGTTTGATAAAGCTTAAATATGAAACTTTAAGAAGTTGTATATATACAATATTAGGGGCTGCTTGACAGTTGCTGAATGGTTTGATGCATAATGGTTAAGAGGCTCTCATGGTATAGTGTCAAATAAAATAAAATTGTTTGATAATTGTTTGCAATGAAATTAGAATGTTGAATGAGAGACCCATGATACAAAATCATACAGAGGGTTTAAGCATAGGAGAATATTTGCGTAAACTCTGATTAAAATAAGGAACTTGATTGAAAAAGTGGCTAAAAGGTGAATTGATTGACTATTTTGGTCAACTTTCCGAATATTTACTTGATCATTTTTCATTCTATAAATAAAAAGATAGACGAACAATTATCTAATCAGTCTTACAAGTACTCATACTTTCTACATCTAAAAATAAGTGTCCAATTTTTTTTTATATTTTAGAGGTTGTTTGTTTACCTTGTAATAGTTCAATTTAGTAAAAAAAGTCTGTCTTTTAACGGTTCAAAAACCCTTTGAATGATTTTGTATCTTTAGTCTTCCTTAACCATTCAGCACTTTAATGTCATTCTGAATAATTACCAGACAATTATATTTCATTTTGCACTATATATAAAAGTCTCTTAATCATTCTGACCACTTAATCATTATGCATCAAACCATTCAATAACCGTCAATCAGCCCCTTAGTTACCCAAAATATGTATTCATTTTATGAATATTTTACCATTCTATCCTTAATTAAATGATTCTATTTTATATCACTACTTTGTTCGCTCATACACCTTTAAATCGTAGAATCGTTACTCCATCTGACTACTTACTATATTTTCCTAATTATATGTTTTATTTATCCATCTTATTATGAAAATCCCTGGATAAAATATAGTAATTTCATTTGATTTGGTTTAAGATATAATCCAAAACCATAAACTTATTTATTTATTCCAATTTGGGAGGAAAAAGATGGCCATTAGAATGATTGAAGAATTTGCACCACGAGCTTCTCCTTTTTCATCGGCAAGATGAAAAAAAAAATGGAGTAAAATGAAGCACAAATTCTGGTCGCTTTCAATATCTCGCTTGGATCGAAATCTCATCTATCAATCAGACATTGACTGACGTGGGTCTGATTCTGTCAAAATTTTATCCCTACACCCTTGATTTTAGGGTCTCTATATCAACCCGCCTACATTGCAATCATACCCATTACCCATATTCATCTAATCATTCACTCTTCCCACATTCAAGGCCATCTTATCCACTCAAATTCTCGTCTCATCAGGTAAAGGATTCGTGTTTCTTGTCCATATTTCGACGTAATTTGATTTGGGATGTGTTTTCGATATCTGATTTGTTCATGCCATTGTAAGTTCTAATTAGACGTTTTCAGAACATTGATCAAGTAACTCGATCTTGGTATTGTGTACTCCCTTGTTTTTCATGATTTTACTGCTTGTATTTTGGAAATCGTACCGTAAGATCCGAGTCGGAGTCATGTTTTTTTTTTTTTTTTCACAGATGTTAGATCTAATTGTTTTATTTAATCGTTTATTTTTCTGCATAAGATCTGGTTTTTTCTTTGTTTTAGATCCATCGTCCTTATTCCAATTCCCCCCTTTTGGGATAATCCAATTGAATCGATTTTATTCCAATTCCCCCCTTTTGGGATAATCCAATTGAACTAAATGCCGTTGATTATATAATACGTGTGAAGAAACAATTGATCACCATTATCGGATCTAGTTCTATTTCGTTTAATTCAATCGTCTATAAGAACCCAACTTATTTGGGTGAATTGTTGGTTTTGAGATTGTATATGCACTAATCCCCATTTAGGATCTCGTATTAAAAAATGTCTATAGTCTTGAAGAATAAGGGGCTGTTTGGTTGGTATTACATCAAGTCCTGTTGATTCTGTCTGTATAGATTGCCAAGATTTTTGTTTGGGCTGGTTTTTTTATAGATGAAAGAAGCGTGTTTTTCTATTGGGAGGGTCAAGTTTGGAAAAAACCTGCTTTCTGCATAAAGCTCCATCTCTAAGCTTACCCGAAGAAGCCACTTTTTATATTATTAAGTCATTACCAAACAATCATGTATAGCTGACTGAATAAGTTGTCAGTTCTTAGCTAACAAAGAGAAATACAATTAGTAATAGAAAAAAAAAGGACCAAGTTATGGCCAAACTCATCATCTTTTCCTTTTATGAAAAGAAAGACTCTTGGTATGAGGAAAACCCCCAACATTTGATGATACCTTTGTTGGTTGTCTTAGATTTGTCCTTTGAAAATGGATGTTTACTGATGGGGTAGGTGTTAAAATGGTATTTTGTTGTCTTTCAGACTGTTCATTCCGAAGACTTACAAAACAACCATATTTCATTCTGCACTATCTCATACAAATCATTTTGCATCGAACTATTCAACAACAGCCAAATAACCCCTTTTAGTTTCAAGTGGAACACATTTTGAAGGTGGGATCTTGCAGAATTCGTTTCTATCACTTTTGGGTTGTCGTACAAAACTAATGATTAATACAATTTGGTGAACCTAATCGTGCTTATTGTTGAGTTGTAATGTAGGTTTGATTGATGTAGGACTTTTATAGCTTCTCCCCTTTTGTGTTGAATTCATTATTGGGTGTTTGGTGGGGTTGGGTGGATGGCTGGTACCTGGTGGGTAGGTGTGTTTTTAGATCTACCCTTTTTAGAATGTTTTTCTTGTAAGTTTAGTGCTGAATCTAAATAACTTTGATCAATTGTAGTCTAATCTAATAGATTAATTATGCCACGTGTTCGGAATTAAGCACATAAATGAAGCAACATTGAATGTGCATATGATAATTATCGACATAATTAGTCAACCAATGATAACAACCCATAAATAGCACTTGCTTATTGCTAAACATGTCATAGTCTTTAAATATCAAGAATAGTTGGCAAACTTTGCTTGGATCATTATCTAAATTTACGCTCATTTTTTTCATTGCAGGTGATTGTGCAAATATATATAAAATGGAAGTTACAGGGGGTTAAGCTAAGTTCTATGGCCTTGGCTGGTATAACCCACTTCCTAATTGTTCCATTTGGCCTTCTATGCACACTCTGAATCCAAAATTGGTATAATTTTTTTGAGCAACGATAATAACCCTGTTAGGCTGCGTTTGTTATATGGAACATAACAAGACAATTATCAAGTCCTGTATGTGTAAGGCTGTCTGTATGGATTAATCTGTCCATATAGATTGGGAAGGTTTTTTCATAGATGGAAGGAACATGTTTTTTAATTGAGAGGGGCAGGTTAGGAAAAGACTTGGCTTTCTCATTAAGCTCCCCCTAAAGGCTTACTGAATAAGTCACTTTCTATATTATTAAGCCACTACCAAACGATCATATGTAGCTGACTGAATGAGTTATAAGTCCCATTAAGCTTATTAAGTTGCTAATATAAATAGGCCCTTAGTGTCCCACGTTTGGTGTGACATGGGACAATACAAAAACCCACTCTTCCATGTTTGGTGCGGCAATGAGAAAATACAAAAACTCGTTGGTTCATGTTTGGTGGGACTCGGACTGGGACCGGGATAAAAAGGCTTTTCTCATTCCCTCCATTTAGGAGGAACAATATGGGACAAGAATGAGACAAAACGCAAAGTTATCCATCTACTCTCATTTGAACCAACATTGTTTATTGAATTCGTACCAAGATCCAAGATCAATCTTGATCTTGAATTTGAAAAAGGAAGTTCTATCTAAAAGTCATTGTGTTTGTTTCTTTTTTTTGTTTTTATGATTTTGATTCATGGTGTACCATTGTATTGAATATGTGCAGATTGGTCAATCTTTTGGGTTAGGAGCAACTCAGAAAATTTCGAACTTGGGGCTATTCGGGGTGGAAGAAAGAACGGAAACTACTCTAGGAACAGAACAATTGGCATGGAATTTGAATCAGATTGGACACGACACAAAAAGTCATCCGCTTTTACAACTCGAGTGATTAGTACCGCAACCTCCTGCATGCATTGGCCTCGTAAAATTCCTATAAGTGAAGGGTATCATGAATTTTTGTAATCAAGTGCTCCCCGTTTCAATTTTTTCCGTATTCTTTTCTTCTAATTGGGAAGAAACAATTGATCAACTCTGAAGAATTTAGTCTTTTTGCATTTAGATATGCCTGAATCTGTTTGTAGAGAGATTGGTGTCAAAGACCCAAGTATGTGCATCTCCAAATTGGTCAAGAAGACCGGTTCTTGTTTACATTCTCAGGTTGATGATGATTTCGACTGCCCGTTCCTGCCCGGGCTGCCCGATGATGTGGCAAAGTACTGTCTTGCCCTTGTTCCCCGCTCATACTTCCCAACAATGGGAGGTGTCTCAAGGAGATGGAGGTCTTTTATTAAGAGCAAGGAGCTTATTATTGTTCGGAAACTTGCTGGTTTGCTCGAGGAGTGGCTTTATGTTTTGACTATGGATTCTGAAGGAGATGGGACCCGTTGGGAGGTCTTGGATTGTTTTGGACATAAACGATATGTCCTCCCTCCGATGCCTGGACCTGTAAAAGCGGGCTTTGGGGTTGTGGTGCTTAATGGAAAGCTTATGGTTATGGCTGGTTATTCAATGCTTGATGGCGTCGGGTCTGTCTCTTCTGATATCTACCAATATGATTCTTGCCTTAACAGGTTTGTTTGTTATCTTGTCTCTCTCTTTTAACGGGATAATAATAACTCTACCGGTTTTCTTGTACCTGCTTCTATTTGTATGTTTCCGTTATTGTTTGTTGAGTGTTGTTGCTTACTTCCAACTCTTTTCCATTTTTAGCACTACCTTTCGCATTTTCAAGTTCTTATGTTTTTTCTAGGATATTTTTTCGAGCAAGCTTTACCCTTTGTTTTTGCATCACTTTGCACAAGCCCGGGGGTCTTTTTGGAAATAACCGCTCTACATTTCGAGATAGAGGTCAGGTCTGCGTACATCCTACCCCCAGACCCCACCTCTAGGTGGGACTTAAGTGGCTGTTTGGTTGATTTTTCATTAAGGCCTGTATGGATGTGTGGATTAATCTATCTGCATAGATTAGGAAGATTTTTCTTTGGAAGAGTTCTTTTATGGATGAAAAGAGCGCGATTCTTAATTGGGAGGGGTAGGTTTGAAAAAACTTGGCTTTCTGCATAAGGGTTGGGTTCTAGTGAGGATGGAAGTTATGTGAGAAGGGTAATGATCTCTACCCTTAGATCAATCATAATTGAAGATCAACACTAATTAGATGCACCGGAACATTTCCCGTCAGAAGCACAATTCATGGGGTGGGGTGAGATTAAAAGTGATTAAGGGTCTAGATCGCTTCTCGCCTTAACTCCTATTCTCAAACGATCCTTCGTTTTTTGCATAAAGCTCCCCCTTAGAAAGCTTGATGAATAAGCCACTTTCTATTTCTTTAAGTCACTACCAAACTGTGTTGTATTGCTGACCGCGTAAGATGCGTCTCTCATCAAGTTCTTTAAGCTGCTAACAAATAGACCCTAAACTCGGTTTGTGTGGTTTGGTTTGTTCTGGTGTGCTAACATCCTATCCTATCAACCTGGATCCTACAACTGTGTGGGATATTCTGGGTTCGTTTGGTTTGGTTTTGGTTTAACATTTCTTCGTGATTTTTTGGGGATAATGTGAATTATAATATTATGGTTGCAGCTGGAGCAAGATCGCAAACATGAACATGCCTCGGTATGATTTTGCTTGTGCGGAAGTCAATGGCCTGGTTTATGCCGTTGGAGGCTACGGGATAGATGGAGAGTCGTTGTCGTGTGCCGAGGTGTATGACCCTGAAACCGACAAGTGGACGTTGATCGAGTCACTTCGCCGGCCACGGTGGGGTTGTTTTGCATGTGGGTTCGAGGGTAAGCTCTATGTTATGGGTGGACGGTCGAGTTTCACCATTGGAAATTCAAGGTTCGTTGACGTTTACAACCCCGAAAAACACACATGGTGCGAGATGAAAAACGGATGTGTGATGGTGACGGCTCATGCGGTGGTGGGAAAGAAGCTGTTTTGTATGGAATGGAAGAACCAACGGAAACTGGCGATATTTAACCCGGAGGATAACTCGTGGAAGATGGCATCGGTCCCAGTGATCGGAAGTTCAAGTGTCGGATTCCGGTTCGGAATCATGGAAGATAAGTTGTTGCTTTTCTCACTGGAAGAAGAGCAGGAGGGATTCAGCACATTGCTGTATGACCCAAATGCAGCTCCTGGGTCTGAATGGCAGACTTCAAAGATTAAGCCCTCTGGTTTGTGTTTATGTTGTGTTACAATTAAGGCATAGTGACTGATCTTAATTAAGGTACTTCTTTTGGATTGTATTTTATAACTATTGTATTTGGATTTTTGCTAAAAAAAATTTGTTGTGGGCATGTGAAATTACTGAAATAACCTATTATTTTATTTTGTAAGAATAAATTAAGAGTAAGGTTCACTTTCGGTCCCTAACGTTTGAAATTTTCAATGGATATCATCTCTAAATTTTAAAAATTTATATTTTTGTCCCTCATGATTGTCAATTTCCAGCGATTTCGGTTCCCCTGTTTAACAATTGTTAACTTTTTTTGTTAAGTCCACCTATGAAAAGTATTTTAGTCATTTTATTATTTTCTTAATTCTATATTAAAATAAAAAAAACATCTTGTATTTTTAATTTTTAAAATTGTAAAAAAAAAACCACCACTTTCTTTGGCTTTACAATTTAAAGTAAAATATAATATGGTTTTTTATTTTAATATAATGAAAATTTCATTTAATTGGATTTAACAAAGAAATTAACGACTGTTAGATAGAGGGATCAAAACCGTTAAAATTGACAAGCAGACCAAAATTCAAGTTTTTTAGGGACTAAAAATTATAAGTCTCGTAAATTAATGAATATTCCACTTTATTAAGCTTTTTTATTAATCTAGATATCCAACTCGCTATGCGAGCCGACTAATCTCAGGACGACCACCTGCTTTACAGATAACCCAAAGTCACTACATTTGAACCTCCGTGGCCACAATGGAATTTTTATTCTTTCTTAGATTTAAACCTGAGACCTCCAGATACTTTTGACCTTTGAAGCCAAGCTCAAACCAATCAGCCACCACCCTTGTATTTAGAGATTGGCTTTGCAAAAAATATACAAAACCTAACATCTAACTTCCAAATTGTATGTTAAACTAAATGACAACCAAAACTTTTATGTTACATTAGTTTTTGTTATGAGATGTTACATTATATTTGTCCAAATGTGTAAAATTTATCAAATTCATCATAAAACTTAACATATTACCAACACTATCTTTTAACAGAACAAAAAAACAAACTCAAAAGAGTTTATTAGAGTAACAAAGTAGAGTACTACGAACCGCACCGGGCTCAGAATACAACAATACGACAGACACTCTAGACGTCTGCCATTTGAGTGTCCTCCGCCATTATAATCTCCATGTCTCGTGTATCTCGCTTCAACACATTCCCGAGCCTACTAACCGCTTCCGTTTGTTGTTGTAAAACCTGCCACCATACATACATAATTCATCATTCAATTCATTTCGAACAACTAAATGGGAACCAACACGTTATTATCTGATTATAATTGCAACATTTGACTTGGACACATCATTTATGTACATGGTTTTAAAAAGCTTGTGAGGCGTATGCCTCGAGATGAGGCTGTGCCTTGGTCATTAGTATACATATTTCTGCCTCGGGGCTTACGCCTCAGACTGCCTTGTTGAGAGAAAACGCCTCGAGGCCGATTCCACTTTTTAAAACCTTGTTTGCGTATAAATATTGATTGATTATTTGTTAAATAATAAATATCTAGAATACCCTTTAATACAAAGAAGTGGAAGATTGTGAACTCAAAGCAAAACCATCTAGCCTTCTGGAAAAATAAGGATGGGTAAACAAGTCATTTCAACTTGAAATCTTTCCAAGAAAATGATGTCTTTCTGTGTCCATTTCTAGAACTACTAACATGGGATGATTGAAAACCATAACGAGATGTTAAACTATAACAAAACCAGATGAGCACAATATATCCCACCGAGAGGTGAGTAGAGTGGCTGTTTTCATAAAGACCCTCTTCTTGAAAGTGAAAGAATAATGAAAAAGACAAAAAATTGTTAGTTGGAAGAAACAAGTACCTCATGCATATCAGCAAGACTCTGTTCATGTATTTTGGTTGATCCTGGTAAACAGACAGAGGCACCGCTGTGACCATTTGCTTGAACACGAGCTACAGTAAGCAAATTCTGAACCCTCCTCGAGAGTTCAGCTCCAGATCCTTTTAACTGTAAAGGGTATATTTGTAAATGCAAGCGAAAGATCACTAGAAAGCACGTAAAGGAGGATGGATGCCAACCTGTCTGATTATTGTCGCCAACTTCTCAGCCAGTTCAGCTTCTCCTTTGGTCAAAGGCAACCGAAATCCCTTGGCCTCTAACGCCTCCAGTATTCTCATCAACTTTTGCAAGTAAATCGAATTTGTACAATTAAATAAAAATGCAAGAAGAACAAGTAGGATGCAGATGTCATACTAACCAAACCCATAACGAGGCTTGCTGGTTGACCACATAAAACAATCTAGTTCTGTAAGGGTGCTTTTGGTACACTGGAAATGATAGAACATGACATGGATCACTGTTCCACGTTTGGCAGGAGTTCTATGCGAACAGACAAGAACAAATGGAATAGGTGTGTTCCACCCCACGAGATGGAACAAGCTGGAACAAACTTATGTTTTACTAATATAACCTCAAAATAAAACCTAAGTTTCTTCTAAAACATCAAATAAGCCTTCCTCTTACATTTTATTCATTCTTTAAATTTTATTTATTTTATTTTATGCTCTTTAAACTTTATGCTCGAAATATTATTTTTATATGGTTTCTATTTTTTGATTAATTTAGCAATTTTTTAAATATTAATAATAAAAAAATTATATAGAAAAGGTATAAGATAAAATTTGGAAACAACATAAACTTTATTTTGGTGTCATTTTAATCGTTTTGCAAAAACCTTTTAATGATATATTTTGCTATATAACTTTTTTTTAATTATAAATTTAATAAATTACATAAATTAACCAAAATATATAAACAACTCATTAGAGGTAAATTGGTCATTTTATATGTTTTGTTCTGTCATGTCCAGTCCTGTCTTACAAACGTTGAACAGTTGTTCTGTCCTGTCTGGATACTAAACGCATCCTTATGGTCTAATGTTGCACCAAACGTCGAACAAGTTTTTGTATTATCATATGTTGTCCTGTCCCGCATACCAATCACACTCATAATGTGCAAAAAAATTATATATTTAGTACCCGTAAGAGGCGCCTTTGTAACGCCTTCTCCGATTGTCTCATTCTCTCTATCCTAGGAAAAGTATCAGCTTGGAAATGCCTTTGAAGCTGAAAAAATTGTTAAAACATTAATATGTTGAACAAAATGTTTGTTGGGGGCACAATAGACACCCATATTTGTCAAGGATGGAGAATAGATGGGAGTACCACTTTCACATTGGTTTGAGTCATTTGCAATCTCTCGGCATCTGAAAGTATGACTTCATCTTGTAGCTGCATAAATTTAACATCTGAATCAGAAAGCCATTAATACAATCGTGTAACCACATTTCATGACTAGAAGAAACCAGCTAGCTCGATAAGGGTAAGAAAGAAGCAGAACTAAGGACTTGTTTGTTAGCAGCTTAATGGGACTCATCTTATTCGGTCAGCTATACATGACTGTTTGGCAGTGGTTTAATGATATAGAAAGTGGCTTATTCAGTAAGCTTACGGGAGCTTTATGCAGAAAGCCAGAAAGCCAAGTTTTTTCCAAACATGCCCCTCCCAGTAAAAAAAAAAAACTCCTTCAATCTATGAAAAACCCTCCTAAACAAAAACCTTCCCGATATATTCAAACAGATTAATCCACATAAACAACTTTATCCATCATGAACATAATGAAAAACCAACCAAACAGCCCCTAACTTTTCAAGATGGACAATAGAAACATAATCCAACCCATAATTTAGGCCTGTCAATGGTAATGGAGAAACCCAATTACCTATTGATTCCTAAGCGGATGATAAGTAAAATACATACATTCTAGAAGTCCAAATTCAGATTCATGTCCATCCAATAATTTCAATTCCTTTTCAGTTGGATTCAAATTCACAATCGTATAATTTTACATATTCATATGGATAATTTTGACTTAAATAAATCCCGATATTACCCGATAACTTAAATCAGGATGTCGAGTTTTAACATCAGTTTAGTAAGAATTCAAATTCAGTTTTGTTAATTGAAAACGAATTCGTATATGTCCAGCTGATTCAATTAACATCTGTTTATAGGCATCCCATAACTAGCATCAAATTACTTTTAAGAAATTACTGTCAAGCTACTGCTAGATCACCATGCCGGTTTCACCCACAGGTTGAAACAAGCTGTGTAGAGATTGCATAGGAAGGAACAAAATGACGAGTTTGAGAATGATGATGGTGCTGTTATGGTTTCCAGCAATAAAAATCATCAAGGGTTTTTTTTCTATGGAATGTGCGGAAATGAGAATGCATCAATTGCCTTTACAGGCTTTGTGAGACGATGATCACGAGCAACTCCAAGACAATAACATTCAAAATTAATAGTGAAGTTTAAGGATCTTTCTCTAGCTATGTAATCTAGTTACCTACATTTTTCTTTATCAGTTCAGCTGTATTCAGTTGGACATACTAATCACAATGGCAATTATTTGACATAAGAAAAAAAAATATGATTTACCTTTCATTGAGTACATCCTGGAGTAAAATACATTCCTTAAGAAGTATGTTCAGTTCTACTCATCACTCATGAGCTAACCTGGATTAGCTCTTCCAGAGTTTGCCAGGAACAAACACAGATACAGCATGAAAATCGAACTGCATAATGTTTAGATCGTGTTTATGGGAGAAGGGGAAGGAAAGGTAATCTGTAACAATTAGTTTTGTTTCCGAGCCATGAAATGAGCATTGGGACGTTGATATAGATTGACAACCAGCAAACAAACAAGTGTTGAACAGTTTATCATTGTGCTGGCACTGAATTCCTAGATACTTTCAAGGGGTGGTATTTCAAAGCTATTCTACAAATTTCCAGTTGCTTTATAACTCAACCTACCTGCAAATACTTCTGAAAGCCTGGCTGTCCATTCAATCAGACCTAGTATCTTTAAGCCTGTTTTCTCATAAATCATGTACATAATTCACACATTGTTACCTAACACTAATAGGTTTCGGACGACTGACTAGTGATGATTGTTCAGAGACGGCTAGTAAATAAAAAGGCATTTATAATTTGTACTTGTGTGTATCTCATAACCTAAATCAGCAGGTTTCTACATGTCATGCAATCTGCTCTTATGCCATTCACACCAACAACAGACCAACTATCATTCATTTGATTAAATCAAGGTTCTACTCCTCTCTGTGCCAGTTTCAGTGGTGACGTTAGTTGTCTGTGGAATGAAGAATTGTATATAAAGAGTTTCAAGATCATATAATACATATATGTAATAAACTGAACTAATCTTATATTTGCATATGCATAGATGAATGACATGGTATGTTTTCTATCGCCAAAACCAAAAGCTTTGCCACTCAATTCTTTTAAAAATTAATGATGCATACTTTCACAACAGTTATTCATTCTAGCATGGCGAAGCTGACATATAATGAAGCTCATTGCAATTATAACACTCAAGCCACTAAAAAAAAGCTGGCATACAATGAGGCTCGCTGGTACTAAAAAGCTAGGAGAGCTTTTGCAATCACAATGAGCTTTTTGTAATAACAGCCCTTCCCCTCACCCACATCTAAGCAATAGAGAGAACATTTATTCAGCATCCTGGCTAAAATAGATGAACCTTATTGACATTCATGGATTTGGAGTCATATTGTGGCATCTTCATCTATCTAGTTAGCCTTATGATCTTATAACTAGCATAAGCAAGTATAATTATTGGCTGGATGACTATTGCAATTAGCTAAAAGTTTTATGTCAGAGCCCTGAGAAACAAATTGCAGTGATGGATCCAAGGGAAAGAATTGTTATGGTGTTGAAAGGTCTACAACCTAGCAAACAACCGGTTATAATACTATGTTCCAGTTTTAGTATAATCCAACTGCATTGTAAATTTGTGATATTTACCTTACCTTTTTTAATAAAGGTAATTCCCTCATGACTCGTAGCAAACTAGCCAATTAACAAATGTAGACAGATAATAATCATAATAGTTCTATCATAACCTAAATATGTAATTTTCTTGATCCAGAATAATAGCATACTCGTAGTCATATTTGATACCTTCAGGCGTTCAGAAAGATCTTTGAAACCCTTAACAAGCTGTGGCCAAAGACGTTCACGGTGGGAACTCTCCAAACCTTCTAGCTTTCCCATTGCCTCTGTCCACATTATCTGGCAATCACAAACTATCCGCCAATCTTAGCAAAATCCAATTTCGAAGAAAAAATCCAGGGAAAGAATTTTTTAAGATCTCTAAAAATCCAGATTCAGAAAATGAACCAACAAGATAAGATACTAGTAAACATACATCTGATACACCAGCAGGCTTTGTCCTAAATTGTGGTTCAATCACACTGAACAGTAAGTGCTGCAAACCATAAACATCAGGTAAGCTTCCATGTTGAAGAACAAGCAAGAATTCGTCTTAGATAATAGGTACACAATTTATAGCTATTCAATGTTATACAATTTTCTACTTTCAGTTATTAATCTGTAATTTCTGAACTTCAAAATCCAAAAGAAAAATAATAACTTCAAGAGGGCCATTTCTACAATTTCCTAACAATAATGTCTGCAATTCTATGTAAAACTTATCACATTAACACTTAGATCAGAGCTGGTAAAAGCAAAATAAGTCCAACCTTAAACGCAAATTTAGGGTTTGCAATTTCATCCTTGTAAGCATCAAGTATTGCCTGACGAGAGACACAATAAACAAGTTAACGCGCTACATAAATAGAGTAATTCAGAGCGTTGAGAACAATTAGGGTTAGGGTTTCAATTGTTGAAAGTGTGGTATAAATATGTATATATACTTGAATGTCTCGATCAGCGAGAGAGAAAGGGAGCGGGGCAACGGGGGCCATCTGAGTAGTCAACTGAGCATTAAATGGCGTTGCAGCAGGGGTTGTCTGGCCGAAAAGGTTACTATTAGCCTGCGGTGTTGCCCCAAACGGAGTCGAAAATCCGAAAGGGCTAGAGCTCTGTTGCTGAAAGAGAGACGGTTGTTGCTGTTGCTGCTGCTGCTGCTGCTGCTGTTGTTGTTGTTGAGAGAAAGGAGTGGAGAAGAGTGACGTACCGAAGCCGGTGGCAAATGAGGGCGTTGACGGCGTTCCGAAGGCTGGGGTTGTGGAAGGAGTGCCGAATGCGGGGGTGGATGAGGGAGTACCGAAGGTGGAGGATGGAGTGCCGAACGCCGGTGTGGCGGATGGAGTGCCGAAGGGGGAGGATGCCTGAGCTCCGAACATTGTGACGGAGCACGGCGGAGAGAAAGGGAAGAGACCTAAATGGAAGAGTATATATTGCCGCCAAATTTTTGAGACACTGCGTGTGTCTTGTTGGAAACTTGAAGTGTGATTTTCTCGCTAATGGTGTGCTTCACGGATTGGATTTTGGATTATGGAAAAAAAATTGAATTTTAGATTACTTCGGTTTCAGGTATAGTTATAATGCAAAAACTATATACATTCAATCGATTGATGAAATCGATACTGCGCTTAGAAATTAGAAAATAGTACGAATGATTAAGATTTAGGGTTTTAAAAAGATAATTAGATAAATAAATATTTATACTATCTTATAAAGCATTTGGCTAAAACTCTTAAATACAACCTCTATTGCTTTAGGTACAACCTACTAAAGCATGCTATCCCTAAACCCCCGCCATCCCTAATCTGCGTATCCCTAAACCCAATCTCATTTTTATCGCCAATCATAATCTCAATCCCATTTTTATCGCCCCAACGCCCTAACCCAATTCGATGAAATAAACCCTAAACGATATCATCGCCAACAAATAATACAGATTCGATTTAATCCCTAAATATTTTGAGATGATACCGATTGAGATGATATCGACTAGAGATGCATATATATATTTGTCATGTTCTTCAATCATCATTTAGGGTTTTCAAAAGATAATTAGATAAATAAATATATTTATATAATGTTTAAAAATATATATATATATATATATATATATATGTATATATATTGTCAAAACACCTTATTTTCGGTTTCGGTTTAAATTTAGATCATTCGGGTTTTGCACCCCCCCTAGTAATGAGATAGTTGGTAAGAATTGTGTCGGTTTTGGGGTTTTAATCCAATAGGAGAATGCTATATGCACCTTTTTTATGTTAGAGATCACCAGATGAGTACTCGCGCAATGCAGCGAGATAAATCTTGATTTTAATGTTTCGTTTTGGATTTTGGTTCTATCAATGTTATAGTGCGGTTTTGAGAAAACGAATTTTTTATGTTTTTGAATGAAATATAAATTTAAAGATATTATAAAATTTTGAAAAAAATAAGCGATATTAGCATCAAATTAACTATTTAAAAGTTTTCGTTTTTGTGTAATTTCTATAATTCAATTTCTTATCTATATTATATTATAAAGCATTTGACAAAAACTCTTAAAAACCATTTTTTATGCATGAAGTACCGTATATTGATGCATATTATTTAAAATTCAATATTACAAATAAATTATGCATAAGTACAACTTATTAAAACTCTATGTTTGAATTCGTGTAACTAACTACGGATAAACATAATCAAATAGAAGATAAAAATCTCATAAAATTAGGATAATCATTGAATTATAACAAAATAATTAATTATTATTTTTATAAGAAAATTATATTATTAAATCAAATATAAATTAATTCGTTGTTGAACCTAAATTAAATAATATAAAAAATTTTGAATTAAAAAATTACACAAAAAATTAGAAATGTTAAATAATTAAATTGATACTAATATCGATATATTTTTGTCAAAATTTTATAATATATTCAAATTTATATTTTATTAAAAAATAAAAACATCATTGTTTTTTCAAAATCACATACCATATTATAATATCGACTGAGATAAAAAAATAAAATGAAATAATAAAATCAATATGTATCTCGCTACATTGTGCGAACACTCTTCTAGTTATAATGAAGTGAAGTTTAGAAACTAACTAACTTATTTTTGGTTTAATAGAATAATTTTTTAAAGATAATAACTAAGTAATATTTAGAACTCAATGATTATCTAAATTATATTTTAGATTTTTTATATTTAAAATGATGTTTATCATGTATTTGATTGTGTTTATCTGCAGTTAGTTACACGAATTCAAACTTTAAGCTTTAATAAGATGTACGCATGTACATCATACATGTAATATTGAATTTTAAGTAATATGCATCAATAAACAATACTTTATGCATAAAAAATTGTTTTTAAGTGTTTTAGCCAAATATTTTATAATATAGTATAGATGCATCGGAAATATAAAAAGTAAGGGGTCGTTCACCAAATGCTTACTCGGGTAGGCATTTACCAAGTCACGTTGTTTTATCGGATTAATATGGCAATGATCAATAATCTTACAAGATAATAACGAAAGTAAGGACCGAGAGTCTTATACGATAAATGAGTATGACAACTCTTACCACTCACCGGGTAAATTCTTGCGTAAGTTACCGTTTTGGTGAACTAAAAATCGACTATATTTATGAGATAGGTGAGTTATGGCGAGAATGGAAGTTATATTAAAAAAAGGTAAGAAAATATATTCGGACCATAGATCAAATCATAATTGAAGATCAACACTAATACGGTGCACCGATATGCACATAATTAACCTGTGATAAACACAATTCATGGGATGAGGATGAAATTAAAAGTGATCAAATGTCTGAATCTCTTCTTATACTTCTTTCTTACATTTAACTTTTATTCTCACACAATCTTTATTTCATATATATATATATATATATTCACTTGACATAAAAGAGAATAAACGTTTATTTGAACTTAGAGGCCGTTTACCAAACACTTACTCGAATAAGTGTTTACCAAGTCACATTACTTTAACAAATGGATATAGCAAGTCAATAATATAACCTTGTAAGAGCGAAAGCAAGAACCGAAAGTCTTACCTTGTAAGTGATGACGACAACTCTTACCACAATTAATCTCTTACCGGATAAATTGTTACATACACTACCATTTTGGTGGACTAAATCTTACCCGATAAATAAACGATGGTATTGAATTTTACCAGTAAGCGCTTACCGGGTAAGCGTTTGATAAACACCCCCTCATTCAAGTTAACAAAATAGTTTTGGTTTTTTTTGTTATCACGTTTTGTTGTAAATTTTTTATCTGCATAAAAACAATTTCTAAACTCAAATTTCATGAATTTAATTGGACAAAAAATTATACATCTTAATTACAAAAAAGAGAAAAACATATCTTAATTGATCAGAAAATCTCGTGGGTTTCGAAACTATGGGGCCGTTTACCAAACACTTATCCGGTAAGTGCTTATCGGTAAAATTTAACACTATTATTTACTTACTGGGTAAGATTTTAGTCCACCAAAACGACATCGTATGCAACAATTTACCCGGTAAGTAATTGCCGTGGTAAGAGTCGTCGCCCACACTTACCGACTATTGGTCTTTGTCTCGCTCTTATCGGGTAAGATTATTGGTCCTTACCATATTCATACGGTGATGTAATGTTACTTGGTAAACGCTTACCCGGATAACCGCTTGATAAACGGTCCCTTAATCACTATAACCTTTTTATTTGATTACGTAAAGTTCCACAGTAAATAATTTCGATATGAAAAAGTAAAAAAATTGGAAAATTTAATACGATAACCAAAACGTAGCATGATATCGATCTTCTATTCGTGTTGGTCTTTGTTTTCGCCTTCGTTACACATTCATGAGTCATCTTGTTATCTCTTCGTCTTTATTTTCGTCATACGTCTTTTTATTCGCTTTCCAAAAAAGAAAAAGAAAAAGGGAGTCGGAATTTAATAGGTTTGTTGCTTTATTACGATCTTAGCCTTATCTTTGTATACTTTGAGTCAATTTGCAATGTATTCGTCACCGCAACAAATACCTTTATATGTAATGAATATTATAATATATCTGTATATATACACGTAAAATTTACATCGAACACAAAACATCAGTAAAAATGACAACATAAATAAAAAAAACTCATTATATTTATATGAAATTTTCACTAAACAAAAATGATCATACGTTTACTTACACTCTTCTTTCATTCTTTCGTAAATTGAATAGATTGAAATTTGTTTACTCTGTTATTTATTTTTAATTCTCTCATATTACGTTGATAAAATAAAAAATTGCATAAAACAAAGTTTATTATTTTTAACTTATATGAAAACTACGATAATTAAAGAATAAACAGTTGGGATAAGTATGGCATACCAAGTTATAATCGCATACAATTTTTTGCGTTAATTATGGGTTTTCGTATCAGTTTATGTGTATCGACTAATCCCTTAGACGATCACAAATGTCCTGGAGCCATTACATGTGAACCTTCGTAGCCAAAAATGTTTTAACAATACATAAATTCGAACATAAAATAGATGAAGATTTTCACTAAATTCATTTAAAACTTAACCAGTATGTCACAATCTAAGAGGTTGTTTGACAGTTGCTGAATGTTTTGTTGCAGAATGATTAAGTAGTTAGAGACTCTTATAATATAGTGTAAAATGAAATATAATTGTTTGATAATTATTCAGAATAAAATTAAGGTGCTGAATGGTTAAGAAAAATACCTAAGATACAAAATCATTCAAATAGTTTTAGAAGCATTAAGAGATGGATTTTTTTTTGTCAGATAACAATCTCTTAATGATTCAAATACTATATTTTAATAAAACTATTAAGAAGTAAACAAACACTGCCCATACAAGTATTATTACAACATTTAATAGCAGGGAGAAAAAACATGCTTGTATACCAAATATTGCCCACATTTTGGACTTTTTGAAAAGTTTCACGGGCATCTCTTTCAAACGTAGCATGGCCACGCCGTCGAACATTTTTAATTTTTTTTTAATAATAAATACAATAATATTCTTTTAAAATACCTCAAAATATGACAACAAATTTATTTTTTAAGTAAAAGTTTAATTGAAATAGTAATCTTTGAAAAATACAAATATATAATTAGGTTTTTTTTTCTTGAAAGGTATTTTATGTATTTATATATTATTCGTCAAAATAAAATTTACATTTATTTGATAAAAAAAAATGGATATCATAAGCACGAAACCACTAATTTAAGATTATTAAATTATTATATAATTAATATTGAAAAAAGCAATTAATTTAGAAGATACCTCATAAATGAATTCTCTCTTTCCATAAATTAAACATAATTCTATAACCAACAAATTGCATGAAAAAATATCGTATATTAACTTTATTTTTATTTTAGGTAACGTATTTTGAAAACTTCTATTTTGCCATCTAAGATCTAAAGTTGTAAACATTTAAGTACGCGGATAATCTGTTGAAGCATTAACCGGTTAGCATGCTGATGTGGTGAACGATAAAATGAAATTGGGTTAAATAGCAAATAATACTGAATTGGATGCCAAATCACTCGCCACATCAGCATGATAATTGGTTAATGCTTCAACCAGTTACCTGAGTACTTAAATGTTTAAAACTTTACATCTTGGGTACAAAAATGAAAGTTTTGAAGTATATTACCCAAAATATGAATCAAGTTAAAATTCAACATCTAATTTGGACAGGTCGATTCTTGGATGATGGTCCAAAACCAACCAAAATCGACATAACCAAACCAACATCTAATTACTCATCTGATTATCATCAAGTTATCTATCGAACTATCATCCGACTACCTAGGTTTGCAATTTTCTTTTACGATTTTCACCCAGGTCCGCAAATAAAAATTAAAATTGCAGACCTAGAACCATTTTGATAACCCTTGTAAATAAATGGTTATTTTAATTAATTTCCCTACATAATATCATATTTTTGGGCAAATTGCATTAAAAATTAACGTATTTTAACTTGATTCATATTTCGGGTAACGTACTTTCAGAACTTTCATTTTGATACATAAGATGTAAAATTTTAAACATTTAAGTACTCGGACAACCGGTTGAAGACTAATTTAAGATTTAAAAAATCCATGTCACTAACCACATCAATAAATAATACTGAGTTGGATAATGGATATCATATCACTCGACACATCAACATGATAATTGGTTAATGCTTCAACCAATTACCCTGGTACTTAAATATTTAAAACTTAATATCTTAGGTACTAAAATAAAAGCTTCAAAAATATATTATTCAAGATAGGTATCAAGTTAAAATACGTTAATTTTTTTTATGCAATTAGCCTTGTTTTTTTGTAAGTTATTAAAAAAGAAAAATAGAATATAATTTTATAACATCGGGAACGTTACGAAAGATGGAAAGCTTTTTGACGCATGCCCACGTCAATTAAAGAAAAAGGAATAACATCGTTTTCGAGGAAGTTGACAAACATCTCATTCTCAAAACCAAACCTTTGCAATTTCCATGCTTATAAATCAACACAAAACTATCGAAGTAATCGAAAGCAAACCACAAACCTTTTAAAGTCTCTTTCTATTAAGTAAAACCACAATTCTGTCTTTCGGAACCCAAAAAGAAAGCCGAAAAGAAAGGCGAGTGGCAGATAATGGAGGATGGTCTAAGAACAAGAAGCTTCAGGAATGAAGATTACAATACCCGAAGAGCGTTCTTGACGAGTTATCCTCTGAATTTCGATCGCCAAGAAACGCCTGTACCTACACCTGCATCTGTGCAAGTAGACGGTGATCGTGATCGTCATACGAAACACAAGAAGAAGAAAGAAGCAATGAAGAAGATAGTGGTGGCAATGGTGGAGTGGGGTGGTGGAAGATGGGTGGTTATAAGAAGGTTTAAACATAAGGTTTCTTTTTATGTTGTTGCTTGTTTTCCTCTTGTTTTTAAACCTCCAAAATCCTTCATTTCAGCTGCTCCTTGAAGCAAAGATATATACATGATACGATGATATGTGCAAGTTTTTCTATACAACCCTTTTACAGAGGAGGAGTTTCAATTTCTTTCATATATATATATACAGATGAGATTTTGATGGTTCATATCTGTCTGATTTGGGACTCCAATTCCAATAGCATATAAGTGTGTATTTGTCCGTAAATACAGTATTGGACGAAGGAGGTTTTGTTTGAAGATATGAATGTATGTCGGTAATCCCAAAATCTAATACCAGACGTAGTAGTTAGCACATTCACTCTACTCTGATGCTGTTTTGGTCTTTTCAGTGATAATTAATACCTTAATGACGATCATGAGTTTAAACTACGTTCTGGTCACTGTACGTATGAAATAAAATACTAATACTTGTTATGCATCAACATCTTTTGACGGTTTTCTCAATATTGACAATGATATGCTTGGTTATCGTTTGTTATATATACATATTAAGCTTTGTTGATACTTTCGGTAGTATCTTGGACGTCCTTTTCGTAACATCTGTAGCATTTGATTATAATGGAAACGGTAAAATAATGCTAATTTCTCACTTTTTTTACGTGCTTATGTGTTATGGCCGGAATTTGTATTTTAAAATTTTGCTTTCTTGTTTTCAAAGTACAAAAACAAGTATTTTTCGTGATAATGAATATGTTCAAAACGTTTACTCAAATACAATTCGTTGTGCGTTAGATGCCAATTCGTCGTTATGGGTACTTAAACGTTTAAAACTTTACACCTTAGATACCAAAATGAAAATTTTAAAAACATATTATCCAAAATACAAAATAGAAATCAAGGTAAAGTACTTAGAATATTTACATAAACTCTGAGTAAAATAAAATTTTAATAAAAAAATGAATTTAATTAATAAGATCCGCTGTTTCCATCAATTTCAAAGCATCATTATTCTGAATTCATCAAAGTTGAGCACTCCATCACCATTGATATCGAACTGGTTGATCATACCAACACACTGATCCACACTGGTTGACTCACCGAGTCGATTCAGCATCCGGTTTAAGCTCTTAGGTGTGATGCAATCAGTCCCATCCATTTCGTACATTCTGAATGCTCTTCTCAAGTCCTCAAGTTTCTCCTCTTCCTTCTGGCTTTCCATTAAACTAACAAAATCTTCAAACGCTAATTGTCCGTTGTTTACCTGCAACGATTCAACCACAGCCTCCACCTCTTCGATTCGAACTTCTTCCTCCCAAATCAATCCGACTCCGCGTTGCAACTCTAAAGGAGAGATCATACCATCGCCATCTTCATCGAAGCGATCGAATATACGTTTGCAATCGCTTGATTTGTTCATGATTTTAAAGATTAAGAGAAGATTGAATGGATAAATGATGATGATGATGGATCTGATCGGAGAATGGAAGTATGAGTTATATAGGTATGGATTATACGCGTGTTTGCCACTAACTTTTGAATTGAATTTGAGACGAAACGAAATCGAATTGGGGATGTAATCTTCAAGCGGTTTCTCCACGGAATTAATGGCGAGCATTCGAAACTGCAAGGCAGTTGCATAGAAACAACTCTTCACGAAATATTGAAAATGACGCTTATGTTTCTCGTTGAATGACGGCGTCGTTTGGTAGTTCCAGAACACGCTTATTTTTTACCCCTTTTTTCTAATTTGTTGAAAACCCGGGTTTTGGAAGTCCATAAATTATTGGTGGGAAGATGTTACTTTCTATTTTATGAAACTGCTTTTTATTTTTAAAGTTTTTGTTTATTTCTTAATAGTTTTATTAAGATGTAGTTTTGAATCGTCAAAAGATAAATCTTGTTTGTGAAAAAAAATATGGCTCTTAATGGTTCTAAAACTCTCTGAACAATTTCATACTTTGGGTCTCACTTAACCATTCAATGCGCTAATTTTATTCTGAACAATTACCAAACAATTATATTTTATTTTACGCTACATTATAAAAGTCTCTCGATCATTCTGCATCTAACCATTCAGCAACTGTCAGACAGTCTCTTACACTATGACATTGGTATTTTACCGTCTTATTTTATATCGGAAAGAAAATTATGTAATTTAAATGATTTTATACTATTTATGATTTTATTTTAAATACCGTTCACCAAACACTTATCAGGTAAACTAATATGGAAACCGTGCGATAGCATCAATTATTTGGATAGTAATATATAGTTTATCCATATAAATACTTCTTAGTTAACAAATATAATTATCAAAAAATCACAGTCACATCGTTTGTAAAAATTAGTATAATTTAATTAGTGGAATATATATATGTGGGGTGGGGTGGGGGGTTTTCCGGTGAGAATGTAAGTTATGGTAGAAGGGTAAAGAGAGATCTTTCACCCTTAGATCATATTAGAATGAGATTCACCAATCAATCATCATATCAAACATAATACATGGTTGAGTTTGAGATTAAAAGTGATAAAGGTCGGGATCCCTTCTTACCTGCTTAACTTTTATCTAATTTATTGAAAAACCCTGGCTTTGTAAGTCGATAAATCATTAGAGAGAAAATTGTTCATACTTAATATTTTGTGAAACTATTTTTTTAACACTATGATATTGGCATATATTAGTCTTATTTTATGTTGGAAACTTTTTATGCAATTTAAATGATTTTACATCACATATAATTTTATCCATTTGTCTGTTTATCAAACACTTATCAGGTAAATATTTCCCGGGTCAATTACTTTACCAAGTGAGCATAATAAAGTCTGATAATCTTACAAGTTAAGAGAGAAGCCAAAGATCCAGAGTCTTATCCAATAAGTGAGGGTGATGACTCTTACCCGAATAAGTGTTTACCGGGTGAGAAACACTTACCATCAATCAATTCATTTTGATAGTTGGGAATGTAACCCGGTAAAGCAAGTGAGAGTGGTGACTCTTATCGTTATACGCTTACCAGTATTTGGTAAACATTTCTTAAGTTTAGCTTTTCAAATGTATATAATAACTTATAATTTGAATGCTTTTACATAACTTATGATTTTAATAGCATTTCTTACGTTATGACATAAGCAAACTTGACCTGTTTATAAGACAGGTACAATCAAATTCTCAAAACCTGTAAAAATAAGATGGAAATATATATGTTAGGTTCCATCGCGTCCAAATTCGTAAACAATCACCTCTAATTTCTAGGCATTTTTCATTATTAAGAAATGCATCGATAAAGATAAAGTATGAATTAATGGTTAAAAAATATATAGACAAATATTAAGAATGCAATGGAATGTCTAAGGATGGTTATTTGTCCCGATCCGATGAGAAACCGGCTCACCTGACCCGAACAAGGACGAGGATTCCCCGCTAAAACGGGTCCTGTGGCCAGGGGATGTTACTCAAACCGGGGTCAGATATCCAAATAGACTCAAACTAACGGATATTCTTAATGGGGTTTGATCAGGGACATGATGTTAATCCCTGTACCCGCCAAGGACCTGGACCGGAGCTGGGAATTACAAAACTCATCCCATCCCCACCTCGTTTCCATACTAGGAATGTCTACCAAAACTCATACCTCTGCCTCATTCCCCTTGCTATAAATAGGAATTTAGCTAATTCATATAAAAATAGAAAACAAACATCATAAAATAAAAAAATGTTGTCAAACGAAAATTAATAACTGCTATTTTCATTCTTAAATGTAGGAATTAATTTAGAGACAAAAATAACAATAAATAAAAAACCATAAAACTAAAAATGACAAAGTCTAAACCAAAAGGACACAAATGGAAATTATTAACAAACAAGCATAATATATGTGAACTTGCAAAAACAAAACTAGGAGCAGAATATATAACTTTCATAAAGTATTCCTTTCCTTCCATACAGGATTTTTTTGAAATCCCAAATCAACAAAAATATGATTTTCTGTTACATTACAACCAAAAAATATGCTCATATTAACTACAACTTATCACTTAACAAAAATAACAATAAGTCAACTCTTCCGGTCGGAAAGTTGACTTATGATCTGATCTTTTCGAGACTCTCGGAGACTGTTTTCATTCGAGGTCGAAGGTCAGGATCTCGTTCGGTACACGCAAGTGCTAAATGAAATACCGTTAGCACTTCCTTTTTTGCGTGTACTTCTTGAAGCAACGTCGGATCCACCATATCCGATAGCGGAGTTTCCTCTTCGAACCCCTTTCTCACCCACTTCACCAAGTCCGGGAGCTCGGTCGAAGTCGAGGTTGTCGGTGACGAAAGCTCCGGTGACTTTCCGGTTAGCAATTCAAGCAACACTACACCGAAAGAGTAAACATCCCATTTTTGTGTAGGACGGTTGGCCGAGACTCGGGCTTCAGGTGCTCGGTAGTTGTTGATGTTTTCCGATTGGGTTGACTTCAAGTACGGAAGAGCCCCACCCATGAACCCCCCAGAAGACGATGGGTTGTTGCCGGTGATGTTAATAAGACGATTTAATCCAAAGTCGGATATGTGCGGTTGATACTCGTTGTCGAGAAGGATGTTTGAGGGCTTGATGTCTCCGTGAACAAATTTTCGAGGACTGCATTCATGGAGATACGCCAAGCCCCTTGCGGTTCCTTTTGTGATCCTCAATCTTGCAGACCACGAAAGAACCGCTGATGCTTGACCTGTATAAGTAAAAAAACAGAACCCAAAAACAAATAAATATCAATTCAAGGCTATATGCATACAATAAACCAGTTCTCCTATCATTAAGTCACCTTCAAACAGTCACATTAAACGCATTAAGCTGCTAACAAACAATAAATCAAATTATAAAAAAAGTTAAAAAGGCATGAATTAAAATTATTACCACGTAGCGCGGAAGCCAAGTTGCCGTTCGAAATGAAATCACTGATTAGAAGCTTTTCGTCGGGAGCCCAATAATAAGCTCTCAATTTCACCACGTTCGGATGCTTTACCCTCCCGATCGCCTGAACCTCCGCCGCAAACTCCTTGTACCGCTGTTCGCCACCCTCACCCAACCGTCTCACCGCCACCGGAATCCCATTTCCGAGCACCACTTTGTACACAATCCCCAACCCACTCTTCCCCAACACATAAGCTGAAGCTCTCAATAACTCATCCAACTCGAAACTAAACCCTTTATCAATAGCCACCAGCTCTCCACCATCTCCACCCCCGCTGCCGCCTCCGACGCCGCCACCACCGCCACTACCGCCGCCACTAACTCCACTACCCTTTTCCGATTCCACCTCGGAATCCGTGCTCGGAAATCCACTTACACATGGGAAAGAACAAAACTTTGATTTCTGATTTCCTCCAAATCGACGTTTTCCGGTACAACTGCAACCATTTGAATCTTTCTTCCTCCAATATAAATAAACAATAATTAATCCAATTAACGCCACCCCAAAAGCATCCGCCACAGAAATCAGTATAATTAACCCCGGTTTCAACCCTTTTTTCGAATCGCCGTCGTCGATCGCCGGCGTAAAACTCTGGGTTCCCGGAGGAGTTGAAGAATTATCATTCCGGCAAGTTTTTTGCAATGGAAATCCACAAAGTGATGGATTGTTTAGGAAAGCCGTCGGTCCTTGATTCGCGAAAGAACCCGTTTGAGGAATTTCTCCGGTGAAACTATTGTGCCGGAGATCAAAACTAACGGTTAACGGCAAATCACCTAAAGATTCCGGTAGCTTACCGGAAAAATGGTTGAAAGAGAGATTTAGGGTTCCGGATAATGATTTCAGTTGTCCGATATCAAAAGGAACCGATCCGTTGAGAGAATTTGAAGAGAGATCAAGTTGAACCAAATTCGCTAACTCCGGGAAGATCCCTGACGGAATTTCGCCGGTGAATTTGTTTCCGGCGAGAATTAGCCGCTGTAACTGCCGACAAGTACCTAGAAACTTCTGGAAGGTTCCAGATAGTGAATTATGCGAGAAATCGACGTTTTGGAGACGAGATGGGTTACACATCGATGACGGGAGCTCACCGGAGAGATTGTTGCCATACAGAAATATGCTATGAAGCGATGTCGCATTGAAGATTGGATCAGGAATTGAGCCGTAAAAGTTGTTCCCATGTAAATTCAGTCGCCGTAGATACACCAAATTCCCGAGTTCCGACGGAATATACCCCCGGAGATTTCTTCCGGCGAGTGCAAGACCGACGACACGTGGGTCTGAAACCCCGGAAATGTTGGCGCACGTGACGCCGGTCCAGCGACACGGGTTGCTGTCGTTTTCGTTCCAGTCAGAAAAGACGGTGGCGCCGCCGTCTACGGCGGATTTAATGGTGAGCAGAGAGAGACCGTCGGTGGTGAGAGAAGATGCGTAATTGAGAAATAAGAAGAATGATAAGACGCCATTGATGTAAAGCTTCAACATGTTAAGTTTTTATTAAAGTAGAAGATGAGGTTTTCTTTTTAAGAGTTGTTGAATTGAGACATTTGGGTATTTGATGAAATTGTGGGGAGGTGGGTGGCGGGTGGCGGTGGCTTGTGGTGGTGGTGGAGGAGGAAGGTGGTGGTGGGTGGTGGTATTTATGAGAAAGAGACGAGGAGATGGGGGATGGGTGAAGGGAGCCCACCCACATTGGTTCCTAGAAGTAGAAGGAAAGCAACGTGCTTTTAATGCAAGTTTTGGGTGGACAACCATCTAATTCTTTTTTTCTTTCATGTAATCATGTTTTTGATTTCCATTCCTCCTATTTCACCATTACACTCTTGTTTATATCATAAAACCTACCTCGGCTTTATATATGAATCAGTTAAATAATTCACATATAAAATTGTCTTTCATTTAAAATAATACACAAAACTTAGAATAAAAGATTATTTTTAAAGTAAAAGTTCTTATTCTTCACTGTTATTATAGAGTTTTATGATAGTTCTTAATTTGCTAAGTTAACGATGATAACAAAAAAAATGTAAAAACAAGATTTTTATAAATCACTCGATTATCGAGTGATCTATAAGAATCTTATTTTTATACATTAAGTCATTTTAATTAGTTATAGCAATTGTATATTTCAAAAGCAGATATAAAAACTTAATGACCAACCGAATCAGGACATATACAAAATAGTCAAACATGATTAATTTTGCTTTTAGTTTCCTAATTCTTCATTATTTCTAAAAAATAGATGAGAAAAATACAGATCATGAAAATAAATTTCATCATGTTTTAAAATATTTAATGTCTTAACAAAAAAAATTATAAAATAATAATTTCATGTTCTCTCTCCTAAGCCATATATAAAATAATTAATTATAAATATAGGAGATAATTAATTATAAATGTAATTTTATATATTTTTTTCTCACTCCTAACAAATATGGAATAAAAATTCTTTATTTTTCATGTTTTCATCATTTAGAATAATGTTCGTAAACGTTGTTTGTTTATTTTTTTAATAGTTCTATTAAAAGATAATATTTGAATTGTTAAGAGGTAATTTTTGTTTGAAAAAAAAATCTGTCTCTTAATGGTTGTAAAACCATTTGAATGGTTTTGTATCTTGGGTCTCCTTCATCATTCAACGCCCTAATTTCATTGTAAACGATTACCAAATAATTATATTTCATTTTTGACTATATAATAAGATTCTTTTAATTATTCTACACCAAATCATTTAGCAACTAAATATCCAACACAAGAAACCCCCTCAAAATCTCATTTTTATTTTATTTTAGAGATTCTTTTCGAATTTGCTAATTGGTTTAATGTTATAATTGGCTTCAATAACTTGTAAATAATTTTTCTAGGGTTGAGGTCCTACTTTGTTTGCTATTATGAAGTCATTAGCTTAGGGTTGCTAAAAAACATGTTCAATCCGTCTATCACAAGTCATAAATAACCCACAAAACTGTTAAGCTGGCTCTTGTCTATTTAGCATTGAATAAAATACATTTTATATATGCTACACTAGTGTGTGTATATATATATATATATATATATATATATATATACATGTGTGTGTGTATTCACACATACTCTACGTATTTATTAGTACCACGACTAGTTCGCAGTTGTCTTTTTGACAGAGTACCTTGTTTAGGGTGAAATAAGTGGGAAAAAAACCCTAAACAAGTATATGCTTGCAATGGTATCGTTTACCAGTTTGGCTAGTTCTCACTTTGGTTATAAATAACTCATTACTTTGGGTTATCACTTTTGCTATTGTCATCTTTTATACAAGTTAACATCTGTCTAAAATCAAATAGCCAACACTGCTTCTACGAAGTTTGAGTTATTGTCATTGTATTTTACTTGTGTGTCACTTGGCTAATGTGATTTTGACTTATTGTAGCTTGTTTCACAATTCTGTAATATCCCTTAACTGGAATCTTATCAGTTATTACGTGACTGATGAATTTAAAGAATTTATCGTCTTGAAACTACATTTCTATAAGTGTTTGTGTTTTTTTTTTTTTGGAAAAAATGTATGTGTTTTTTGTTATATGTATAGGAGTGAATCAAACGGTGGACAATACTTCTAATTCAACCAAAGTCAAATACTAATGAAGAAATCAAATTTATGTAATATTAACCCAACCCAACATGTGAAAACTGAGTCGAGTTATATTTTTTAAAAGATCGAGTTGAGATTTCCTAAACCATTACAATTTGATTGAGTTGTTTAAATACTAAAAACCGTTCAACTCAATCCATATAAACTATTTGTAGTTGATTTCACATCAACATTAGATGTAAAACCATTTACAATTACTTATTATTTATTGATCACATATTTTCAGAGGCTTATTTTATAAATTTATAATTGTAAAAATAATATTATTAAAAATAAACATGTCCAAAAGTTTTGACTTTTTTTTAATCAAAATTAAAACCAATAAGATCAACAAGAAAGCAAACAACTACGAGAGTAAACTACAAACTTGGTCAATTAGTTTTTCTAAAAATAACATTTTTAGTTTGTGTAGTTTTAAAATTACAAGTTGATCATCACACTTTGTAAAAGCATTTAGATTTAGCCCCTGACATTAACGATCGTTAAAAAATTATATCAAATGAGAGATATATTCGTTTTTATCATTTACCAAATCAAAAACTATAAGGACCAAATCATAAAATCGATTTTAATTGGTTAAAGGACAAACAAATCTAATTAAAATACGAAAATTTCCTCATTTAATGAATTCTTTTTAATGGTCGTTAGACTTAGGGATGAAATCTGGATGATTTTGCAAATCACGATAACCATCTTAAAATTTTCAAACTGCATGGACGAAAATGTTATTTTTGACAAACCAGAGGGACCAGATCTGTAGTTTAAATAGAATTAATATACAAACAAATATGTGTAAATGGTCAAACGTTGGTATATAATATGATGGCCTAGTTTTCGAAATTTAAGTAGGTTTGATTTGAAAATTGGGTAATAAAACCAAAGACCAGTACTATTTTCATTAAGAATATTATTATTTTACAGTACGGAATTGGGTTCACGTTAGACCAACATGTTTTTGTGAAACCCTTAAGACCACTTTTTTACGCTTGAAGCTTCAGAACAAAACGTTATAAAAGTAAAAGAAAGTCAAACATTCACAACAAAAACATGGTGAAGGTTACCTTCACAACGTTTTGCTATGAAGTTTCAAGTGTAAAAAAGTGGTCTCACGGATCTTACAAAAACAGACTGGTCTCACGTGATCTTAAGTCTACCGTATCTGTCGGACTATATATATTCAAGTATTTATTTTAAACTAACTTAACATTAATTACTTTATATATAAAATATAAATTGCTGTTTTATTGTTGTAAAATAATTACAATACTCGTATTTCAATGTTTAGGCATATTTTAAATAATTTATTAAATTAAAGAAAACATTTATTAAACAAACAAAATTTAGTTTAATTCCCACAAAATTTCACAAGTCTTTGACTCTCTTTTTTTCATGTGTTTGTTTACATGTTTGAAACCAATTTTACATTGCTTTCTATACCAAATCACTTGTTATTATTCATTTCTGAGTCTTTCAAATATATTTTTCTATAACAAATTCATGTCAATAATTCACAATCAGTATTTATTTATTTTTTTGATTTAATATTGTTATAACCTTAGAAATCTTTTTCTCTTTATATGAATTTATCAACAGTTCAAGGTTCAAATTCAAGAAAGAACAAAAATTCTTTTGTGGCCACGGAGGTTAAAATGCGGTGACTCCGGACTACCTGCAAAGCAGGTGGTCGTTCTGAGATTAGTCAGCTCACATAGCATGTTGGATATTCAGGTTAATCATAAAAAAATATCAACAATTGAACATAGTGCTTTATAAGAACGATAATCAAGCTAGTTTTTATACGGATTTATTTTGTTCATATATGATGATGCATTTCAACCTTGCTTCAATTTATGGTAAATAATATATATATATTATATATATATATATATATATATATATTCATGAAACCCTTTATTTGTTTCATATACACCATAAATTTATACTTTGTTTGACAGTTACTAAATAGTTTAAATTGTCAAAATAAAACTAAATAAAATAAATAAAAAATATTGTACTTGAAAGTGAATTATGTCTCCAATTGTTTCAAAGAAAGTACTTGAATGGCCTCACTATAAATTGTTAGGTACTTACTCCCGTCCATACCCATCTTTTTCAACCTAACACCACCCATACCATACGCTTGGTTTTATATATGAAATCAATGGGACTTTTGATGTAACGGTTTTATAGCATTTGGCTTCGTAGGAGGTCAGGGATTTAAACATCACTGTGAAAAATGATATGTGATTTATTTGTTGTATTTGTTGTATATAAATATAAATATTATATACTTCAAATAAACAATGTATTTAAAGCATACAATGTTAATACAAGTGTTGTTTTGAATATGAAACTTTCAGGATTGTTTTATGAATGGAAAAAAATATAACTTAAAAGACATATTATTGTATGATTTGAATTTGTATGCACACAGATTCTAATAAATATTGGGTTTGTATACAAATTTATATCTTTTTTATAATTTATTCAATTTTGGAATTTATCCACATGTTTTAATCTTAAAAAGTTGGTGAAAACGGGTTTAAAATAAGTTATAATTTTGGGCAAATTTAATAAAAAAAAGTAACGTATTTTAACTTGATTCATATTTTAAGTAACGTCATTTCAAAACTTCCATTTTGGCACCTAAGATGTCAAGTTTTAACCATTTAAATACCCGGATAACCGGTTGAAGCATTAACCGGTTATCGTGTTGATGTGGTATCCAACTCAATATTATTTGATGACGTGGTTAGTGACATGAAATTTTTTCAATCTAAAATTAGTTTTTTTTAATATGAAATTAGTTTTCAATCGATTACCCGAGTATTTAAATGTTTAAAACTTTACATCTTAGGTACCAAAATGGAAGTTTTGAAAGTAC